AGAAGCAGAATCAAGCCTAAGCTGATAGGAATCAAGCTAAACTCCCCCCACGGGGGTTTTGGTTAATTGTTTCCATCCAGCGGGGTGGGAGGAGATAAGAGTGTTGTTGTAGCATGGGCAGTTCCAGTGCCACACTCATGCACACTGGCCTGGTGTGCTGAGGCCTGCAGTGAAGCCCTGCACAGCCACGTGGCATTTTAACACAAGGCAGTGGTCACAGCTAAAAAACAAACATTCGCTTTCTCTCACTCGGACAGGCCGACGGCCAATCAGATTTTAAAGAAGGCCAGTCTGAGCGCTTCTTTTTTTTTACGTGTCCATTTCTGACCTCACCTGTTCTTATGTAACCAGCAAAATAAATCTTTTTGTTTCAGTTTGGACTTTGTCAACAAGCAGTTCTTCACTGATCTGATCAGTGAAGAAAAAGTCAATCAGATTTGGGTATTACAGCCCACTGTTTCTGTAAAGCCTCAGGCGTATTAATACGAAATATTTCTTTTCCTTTCTTTTTCTTTCTAAGATATGTTCTGAGGGCTAGTCCTCAGATCCATTTTCCAAATGTAAATGATTTTGCACTCTGTCTTTGTATTTTCATATGATAATAATACTGAAGTATATTTGTGAGGAAAACAATCTGCTGATTCAGTTCTATTTTAGTCCTTCGTGTTCTCTTTTCATGTTTGAGTTCACTTTATTCTGTTGGTTCAACAACTGTTATATTTCAGATTTTTAGACCAAAAGGACACAAAAAGAGCTGAATAGAGAACAAACTTCACTTCCTTCTGATGCTGACAGATGCTGCACTCTTAAAAATATAGGTAGCAGAAACGATTCTGATTTCCTAAAAACTTTTCAATGGATGGTTCTTTAGAGAACCATTTTTGTTTTCATGTTTTAAAGAACTCTCACATTATGTAAATGTTACAGGAAGAATGCTTGAATTGGTATAGAACCTTTGCTTTATGTCTTTAAAAAGTTCTTCACACTCACAAATCTCTTTTTCAGACATTAGGGAAACCAAGAGGAACCAAATGTAGTTCTTCTATGGTGTCTTTAGGTAACCTGCTTGGTTCTTCTATGACATCTTTAGGGAACCAAGCATGGTTGTTCTTTGGCATCTTTAGGGAACCAAGCATTGTTCTTCTATGGCATCTTTAGGAAGCTAAATGTGGTTCTTTTATAGCATCTTTAGGGAAACTGCATGGTTCCTCTATGGCATCTTTAGGGAACCAAGCATGTTTTTTACAACATCTTTAGGGAACCAAGCATCATTCTTTTATGACATCTTTAGGGAACCAAGCACGGTTGTTCTGTGGCATCTTTAGGGAACCAAGCATATTTTTTTATAGCATCTTTAGGGAACCAAGCATGGTTCTTCTGTGGCATCCTTTGGAGAACTAAGTGTGGTTCTTTTATAGCATCTTTAGAGAAACTGCATGGTTCTTCAAGTGTGTTTCTTCTACAGCATCTTTAGGGAACCAAGCATGCTTGTTCAATGGCATCTTTAGGGAACTAAACATAGTTCTTTTATGGCATCTTTAGGGGACCAGGTGTGGTTCTTCTATGGCATCTTTAGGGAACCAAGCATGCTTGTTCAATGGCATCTTTTGGGAAATAAACATAGTTCTTTTATGGCATCTTTAGGGAACCAAGCGTGTTCCTTTTGTGGCAACTTTAGGGTACATGTGTAGTTTTTCTATGGCATCTTTATGGAAACAAACGTAGTTCTTCAAAGACATCTTTAGGGAACCAAGCGTGGTCTTTCTGTGGAATCTTTAGGAAACCAAGCGTAGTTCTTTTATGGCATCTTTAGGGAACCAAGGGTGGTTCTTCTGTGACAACTTTAGGGAACCAAACATGGTTGTTCTATGGCATCTTTAGGAAACCAAGCGTGGTTCTTTTATGTCATCTTTAGGAAAACTGCGTGCTTCTTTTATGGCATCTTTAGGGAACCAAGCATGGCTCCCCTACAGCACTGTTCAAAGAACCTTTTGTTAGACCTTTATTTAAGAGCGTGGAAGAACTGAAATGGTGCACTGCAGTTCTTAAGTACTTAAAGAAACTTATGATCTAATACCTTTTACTACCTTTAGTTACTGAAGTGTCGAAGGTTAAAACATTTGGAGTCATATAAATTATTGCTGTTTTTCAATTTAAAATTTAAATTTTAAGAAGTTTTACTGCATATTTCATGTCTTAGGCATCACCTAGAATGTATTAAATGATTTTATATTTTATGTTCTATTTTTTATGTTCTAATAGTGCATTAAAACTGTGCATAAAATATAATATCTAAGTTTGTTTCCTGTGGAGAATGTGTTATTTTCATGTAGAGAGTCAACAAAAAAGAGTGTTGAATCTTTTGCATATAACTGTATATTCAGGGATGAAAATGGTCAGATTGTGAAAATCTCGGTAACTATTTTCACAAGGAAAACGCATATATTTGTTTTACTCTAGTCTGAAAGTGTGTGCCTGAAAAGACGTGCCTAAGCCAGAGACATTATACAGGACAGGTCACTCATAAAACCTGCTTGTATTGCTTAACATGGTGTCTGTTTACAAGGAAAGTCCTGTCCTTCACTAAATAGAGCCAGTTGGCTTGCTGGTAAAGTGGGAAAAACTCCCCGTCAGTTGTAGACACCAGCGCAAGCGCAGTAGCCAGAAAGAAGCATGTTTTTTTGTGAATATTTGAGCCAAACGCTACAATAATATATGATTTCACACATTTTTGGAAACTGTTATTTGGCCTTCAGTTTCAAGTTTTTAGGTCTCTCCCTATTTAAACAGATAGGAGCCTCATCTCTTATGACTGGAAATAACTGCCCCGCAGTTCACCCTACAGCTCATTCTGTGTATATTAACAAAATCCTCAGTTTAGGCTCCTTCCATTCCGTATTGGCCAAACAAGTCACAGTGAAACACCATCCGTTCAGTAGGCGCCTGCTCCCTCGTAATAGAGCTGTTTTGCTTCCAAAGCAGCAACTGTTCATCAAATTAGAGCTCGAACAAATCGCAGGACTTTTCACGGCATGCTGTGGGACTGTGCTGGCTTATCTCAGAACACACACCAAGACCAATCACAGGTGTTCAAATAGCCCGTCAAATCATCAGCGGTTATGCACGCTGTGTTGTGAGTAGCGTGTGTGTTGTAGGGCCTGTTGTTCTGGGCACATGTTAAGCGGAGTTTTTGGATTAAAACGATCAGTAGGGACTTTTTCCCTGAAAACAGGTCAAGCCTCATCAAATCTCCTTTAAAGGAATAGTTCTGTGAAAAATCAATTTAACACAATTTCCCTCTTAAGCCGGCAGTAAACTTCAAACAAAAATGACGCTTCGAAGCAAAACGACGGCTTTTTGGCCAAAATAACATGGTGGTTTGAGTTCATGTGGTGCAGTGTGTACTGCTGGCAGGAGAGAGAGAGCTAAGACCTCCCCCTGACTGTGATTGGTCCTATTAACCCTGTCATTTCTTTTAAGACCTCCCCCTGACTGTGATTGGTCCTATTAACCCTGTCATTTATTTTAAGAACTCCCCCTGACTGTGATTGGTCCTATTAACCCTGTCATTTCTTTTAGGAACTCCCCCTGACTGTGATTGGTCGTATTAACCCTGTCATTTATTTTAAGAACTCCCCCTTACTGTGATTGGTCCTAAACACTGCATAATTTGTTCTGAGATCTCCCCCTGGCTGTGATTTGTTCTAAACATCATCAATTGTTCTGGGACCTCCCTCTGACTGTGATTGGTCCTCATCGCTCTGTCATTTATTCTGAGACCTCCCCCTGACTATGATTGGTCCTTAACACAGTGCCATCTGTTCTGAGACCTCCCCAGACTGTGATTGGTCCTTATCACAGTGCCATTTGTTCTGAGACGTCCCCAGACTGTGATTGGTCCTCTTCACTAAGTCATTTGTTCTGAGACCTCCCCCTGACTGTGATTGGTCCTTATCACTGCTATGTCATTTGTTCTGAGACCTCCCCCTGCCTGTAATTGGTCCTAATCATTGCTACGTCATTTGTTCTGAGACCTCCCCCTGCCTGTGATTGGTTCCTTATCACTGTGTCATTTGTTCTGAGACCTCCCTCTGAGTGTAATTGGTCTGAGATTGGTCCACTGCGTTAAATGTGCTTCTAGAGGTGCCAAGATGTACACCAAGATCTTTTTAAGATGTAATCAATCAGACAAGACACGGTTGGTGTCCAAAGTGTGCTTCATCAGTTTTACTCTGGAACTAGCATCAATTAGCGTAGCTAAAAATTCCTTAATATGTATTCATTCTACTACTGTTTTTATTTGTGCAGTATACTTTTGTCCATTTTTGTAGGTAACAGTGTGTCATAAATTAAACAAGTCTATTTGAGATACACAATGCTAATTGCTGGCTGTAAGGGGCCATTACTTGTTAGCTACACTAGCCTCATCGAGGAAAAACTAAAGAAGCAAATTTAAGACACCAGTCATGTTTTTGCTGATTGACTACATTTGGGTAAGAATTGCACACGCACACCAGTTATTTCCAATAACTTCAATTTCGACATCATCTTTTTAAAAATAATCCTGCAGCTGTGTAAAACATTTATTGTTTCTGAGCATTCAGTTATTTTTTTTCTGCTCCACTTATATTACAAGAAAATCACATTGAACAAGGAATTATGTACATAGCTCAAAAAAAGCAGTAGGGACGTCTTTGATTACTCTGGAAAAAGAGCAATCATTCATTCATTATCTGGTATCAGAGGGCAAAACAAATATCCTGAGATGTCCACAGAAAACGTTTCCGCCGTTATTTACTATTATTATTCTTATTATTTAGCAATTTTGCCCATTTTTCTCCTCTCTTCGCCAAACAGCGAAAAGCCTCTGCAATTGCACCTGATAATGAAACACACATTGGTTACATGTGGAAAGGTCACTGCGTTCACTTGCTTTTCTTCTTGACCCATTATTCTCACAATACATTCTACCCTGTGAACTTTATTCAAAGAGGAACAAAAGAAAGCGTAATACAGAACAACATTGTGCGTTGTGCCCTATACACTGGAAGTGTTGCAGAAGATTAGTGCTCATCAATCTTTCTTGCCTCCATAGAAGTAATAATAATAATAAAAATAAAAAAAATAATAAAAGTTAGCAGCATTGAAGATAAAGAAATGGAACAGAAGAATGAGGTGTTGTTTTTTTAAGTCTCAGGTTGAATAAAATACGGCCAGCTCTGGATATGGTAGTGTAACGTGGTTGGAGTCTTGAGCACAGAAGACAAACGATAGGCTTTGCAGTTCATAATGGACGTAGTAAAGGAAACACATCAGCTACCATAATATACACACCACCGGACAGAGGTTGAACCTGTACGACTTGGATACCTGTATTGTTCTCGTAAGCATTTCTTGTTTTTCTTTGCACATTCACAGATAAAAAGTGGGGCGGAATTAAAAAATAAATAGAAAATAATTTAACATAAGTAAAAAATTTGGTTTCGACTGCCACTTTTCTCAGATTCAAAACCAGAGGCTACATCCATTGTGCTTAGAAGAAGTCTGTTTTGCAGGTGTGCGCAGCAGATGTTCTTTAAAGTCCGAGCTCGTGAAAGAAAACATCCAGATATACACAGTCTGGTTAACGCAGAGTGCCGTCGGGGTCGGCCTTTGAGGAATCTCCTTGAAACTCGGGGTCTCTTTGGGACTGGAGATCAGACCGGGCCTCTACGTCCTTGTCCGTCAAACTCTGACCGTGCCAAAATGGTCTGAAGTGGACCGATCCGTTCCGTGCTGCCCCTCCGTTCGGTCTCATGTGTTTATCAGTCCGCTCTGTGCGTGCCACAGCATTTTCCATTTGGCTCATCTTGTTTGTCTTGTCGGTTTCATCACAGTCATTTGCTGAGCCTCCCGTTGCGACTCTGTATATATTGTGATGATCCTTGAACTGCTGGTCAGGAAGTTTAGCCATTCTCGGGCGCAATTAGTCGTGCTCTCTCGCTCTTCCTCGTTTCCCCCTTCTCTTTGACTGTCGCTCGGCCAAGCTGCGCATTCTCAGTCGTCCTGCTCCTGTAAGGTGGAACTGGAGAAGAAGAGAAAAAGAAAGACATTCTGTTAGAAGCGCGGCCAAAACCTCCTACAGTTATTTGATCACTGCAAATGCATATCTTTGTCTTGGAAGTATTTTCAGTGCTTTCCTCATTTTTGGACTTTCCAAGAAAGTTTCAAGGAAGCGCACAAGGCCGTGTGTTAGTGCTGCTTTGTTAAATCATCCGTTACTCTTATCTTGAAATATCCCCAAAAAAGAAGATTCACAGTGTAAATAATTTGCAACATGATACCAAATACAATTTGAAATGAGCTATAAATGTTTCTAATTGAATCTAATTACGTCAGCAATATGAGTCAGGGATGCATGATAATATCAGAATCAACATCGGACAGATTTCCATGACGTATTTGTGGGTGTATGTAGTTCTAATTTCTAGTTCTAATTTCTTTGAGCCAAAAATTATAAACAATATACAAAGGCAGGAAGATGGGTTTCAAGTCACTTTTTTAAAAATTGTGTATAACTCACAACATTTGTTACAAAAAGTTCTGTTTCTTTTAGAATCGACTATAAAATTTTACTTCTACTTTTTGAATCTCTTAATGGTTTAGCACTTTCATACATTCCTGAGTGCCTGATAGATGTTCTAAATCGAGCTTTAAGATCATCTAGTGCTGCCTGCTCCATATTCCACATGTGAAACTTAAAAAGAGGCAGTGTTTTGTTTTTATGCACCAAAGATCTGGAACACGTTACTAATAAACATCTGACAGGCTCCTTCTGTCAATGTTGTTGAAAAACAGTTAAAAACTTATTTCTGTACTCTATTTCTTTAGCGTTGAACTAGCTTTTTTATTGTTTCCTTTTTGTTTACTGGAAAATTACTGTTACTTTTATTTTCTTGTTAGTTGCATTTTTATTTTCTTGTTTCTTTTTTGTATACTTTTATCGTGTGCTTTTTAGTTGTAATTATTAATATATCCCTTTTCTGCTATCTATTATTTATTATATTTTGTTTTATTTTTGATTAGATTTTTTTCTTCATCCTCTGTTGTTTTTACTTTGTTTTGTGAAGCACTTTGAGCTGCATTTTTAATGTATGAAAGGGGCTATATAAATTAACATAATTATTATTATAAAATACTTCAAAATACAATTTTAAATAAAAAAATTAGGAATAGTAAATGTAATAGAACTTAACAAGTTATATATCGCATAAAAGGTTTGTATTTTTAGGTGATGTTTTGGGGTTCTGGTAACTTTCCAGTGGGCCAAATCAATCCATCTGTCAAACCAGTTGCGGCTTTTTTATCAGCCCTGTTATGAATGTTCATGCATCATCAGTGGCAGATATGTACATGAAAGATATCGATATCAGCCCTCACTTCCTGTATTGGTGCGTCCCTAATATGAGCTCATTTTGTATGGTAAGAAACAGTGCAAGTGCATTAGTTCAGTGTGTCAGTGTGTGACTGATGTGTCGTTATGTACAACAGTAATAATGCAACTATAAACTGTGAGGAGAAAACAGTGGTTAGCCTGAATCTGATTGTACAAAATATACGGTGTTGAAGATTGAGTTTTCAGAACTTTATGGATTAGTTTAGGGGTCAGCAACCCAAATGTGAAGAAGAGCCATTTTGTCCTTTCAACCAAAATCAATCACCTTGGGAGCCACGATATTTTATGTCCATTTCATTGAAGTAATATTTCACCATCTTTGCTGTAAATATGTCTCAGTATGTGCTAATGTACTAGTATAGACTAGAAAAATACAATCTAAATGAAAACGCAGACTTACTTTGCTCTGCTTTAAGCTTTAGCTCAGATATAGTCACTTTCCTCGCATCTCCGGCAGGAAACTTTTTCTAAAAGTAGAACAATGTTCTCTCAATGTTCGGCATTTTACAAGGCTGAAGTCAAGTTTTTACAAGTTTCTCATTCGCCAGCTTCTTGTTCGAATTTACCCGTTCCACCTTAAATACTGTCTGAGGCGCCAGAACGTAACTGCTGCACCGTTTAAGGTGGAAAGGGAAAATTCAAACAAGAAGCTGGCAAACAAAGCTGACTTCAGCTTTGCGACTTTTTAGTGTTTAACAGTCTTTCGTTGCAGATTAAACGTTTCAGAAAACCAGCTGGAGTGATTATAAATGCAAATAAGTCAATTTGTCTCTTCAGCATTTAAGACCATTTATTGTTAAACTGTGTTGAACGATCAGCAGAACTATTTTACTGTAAAGGTGGATCATTTTATTTTTACCTAAAGATCTAATTCTGCTGTGGAGCCGCAACAGAGCAGTAAAAGAGCCACATGCAGCTTGATGCCGACCCCTGGTTTAGTTGGGGCACAGTGTTGTCAAAGAGAGCTAAATTCTTCACTCAGTTAAACCCACTCGGCCTAAGCTGATATGACTGCATGATGCAGTATTGCCAAAGAGAGAAATTCTCTCTCTCTCTCTTTCTCTCTCTCTCTCTCTCTCTCTCTCTCTCTCTCATGTCAAAATATCTAAAACCCATGGTCTCATAGCTTAAGCATCCATACGTTTAAGGCCAATTTTCTCATCAAGAGGTTGGCTGGCGTGTTGAACTTGGCAAGGCCGTGTAGTGAGAGATGACTTGGATGTGGCAGAACAAGCCGAAAAGCACACGTGGCACTTTTCAAAGAGCCTCCGCGGCCAATGGCAAATCCGTCAATGCGTTAGACGTTGTTTTATTATTACTGCCATCGCATTTGTAGCTGTCACAGTGTGTGAGAGATTGCTTTCATTGGTATTTCTAAATGAAAATTATTTCATTTTGTGGTTCAGAAATAGCTGTGCTCTTTGCAAACACTTGAATCTTGTGTTTGCTTCTCCAGTGGAAGCTGATGACATAAATATAGGTCCAAAAATCAATTTTACAATATTTGTCCTTTACCCTACTGAAAGCTCTGATGTTATTGGTACTGGAAAAATAACATTATGTTTGCAGAACAAGTTTGTCTGATTGAAAACTCAAGTGAATTTATTTTTGTGAGAATGATAAGCTCTGAGTAGCACAGAATTCCTAGCGAGGTAGTTGATTTCTGTTTATTAGCTCTTTTTTTTCCTTCAGAAGTTGTTTTCAAGCAAACAACACGTCCACATGTTACATATACACTGTTAGAAATAAAGGTTCGGTGCAGGTACGTTTTTTGTTGATCAAGGTACAAAAAATGTAAATGTGCCTTTAAAGGGACAACAATGGTTTAAACGTCCAATTGTGAACCTTAAATAGGTTTTTCCAGGTGAAAAGTATGCATTTGTACCTTTTCATAACCGAATGTTTTAAAACAGAACAATAAAATAAAAAGTCTGGAGACGAGACGGGGTGTGTGGAGTCAGTACAGCTTAGAAAATATAATTTCAATGGATTATGGTACAGTTATGTTCCCTGACTAAAGGTACTGAGATGCACCCCTGAGGGTCCCACCCCAGTGACAAGAGGTTTATCGCCCCAGTGACAGTTTCATACCTTTATTTCTGAGAATGTAGGATAAATATAAGTTTGGATGCACTCTGCATGTTTTAGTTAGTGAGTGGTCAGTCTGGTTGTAACACGACAACTTTAATCGCTGCTAAGTCAGTAGTTTGGCATAAGAGTATGTAACTTTGTGATCAATATAATTATTACCAGTGATGTGAAAAATAACAAAGTCAGTAATGTAGTAGTTACTTTAGCTCAGCTTAAGTTTCTGCAGCAGTATAGTTTGTGTCATGCATGCTTACACTTTGCTAAACTTAAAAGTGCGAGTGTATTTGAAACTAATGAAAAGTTTCAAAACTTAAAAAATTATTTGAGGCAGCTAATTACCTCTAAACGTTTGAGTAAACTGAATTCGTCAGGGTTTAGTTTATCAGCAAAGACAAGCTTGCTGAGTGAAGTTCACTTGTTTAGTTTGTAGATGTAGCTACAAGGCTAATGTAGGTAGCTAACAAGTAGTGTAAGCTTCTACCTCACCAATTAGCACCACCAAAACTGCACGCCTAATCATTATAGACTTGCCTCAAACCAAGAGCCGTTAAGTAATCTGACACTTTGTGACATAATGTTATATATAACTATGGACAAAATGATGTTGTAAACCTAAGAACTCTGTATGTGCTGTATGTTTGTACCAGTTCACTGTGCAGGAAGCCACGTAAACAAGTCTATTTGAGTTTACCTATCAACTCAACATGGCTTGAGGAGGTTTGAGGCAAGTGTTTGATGCTACTTAAGGCAGTTTGCATTACACCTATTGTGGGGTTGAAAGCTTTCACTACTTGTTAGCTTTAGACACCAAACATGTCTTGGCTGATCACTACATTTGGTGTTCATTGTGTACGTTTTCATCAAAGTATTCCTCGAACCCTGTAAAACGCCCCGTCAATCTGCAGCCGCAAACCCGGCTGTGTGAGCCGTCAGCACCCTCGCCCACAGAAAACGTCCAATCCCTCATCCTTTTCTCATGATGTTTCATCGCTCATCTTTTTCTCCATCTTGCCATACCCCCTCCACCTCCGCTCTCCTTCATTTCTTCCCCGTCGCTCCGAAGGCCCGAGATTCCGATCCTATCTCGGCTACTGTACATGTCTCCACAGGAACGTGTAAACAATGCCCAGTGTTTATGACCGATCCGAGGGGAAAAGCGGGGGGGGGACAAAATGAGAAATGCTCAGAGAGGGCCCGGCCCATGGCTCAACCCTCAGGAGCATAGGAGCCCCAATCAGATCGCCAGTGGCGTAATTTAAAGCCTCGTGTTTTTTTTGTTTTTTTTTGTTGTTTTTTTTGTACCTATCAGTTCAGATGAATGCAGTACACTTGCACGCAGAGGCAATCTTGAAACCCTACACCTTGCAGTAGGGCTACACGATATGGACAGAAGACCACATTACATTGTCACCTATTTTGATTTCCATACACCTTGGAATATCTTAATAACAAGGCTAATGACGTTAGAGATGAAAAATAAAGTATTTAGTGTACTGTTATGGGGTAAAGCTAATCTACTGATTTATCAAGACAACGAC